TCCTCCTTGCTGGGTCTCAGAGTCCAGATGTCTACGTTGCTATTTTTAGCCCTGTAGAGCGAGCCTCGTGAGCCCAAGTCAACTGACCTGGGCTCTGCGACTCACAGCTGCAAGTTAGTTTGTTTTTTCCCCACTGTAGATGTACCTTTAATTGGGTCGTGAACGTGGACCTGAGTGTAACTTTAAGCAACTCATCTTAAAAGAAAAACAGTTCCAGAACAAGTTAGTAACCATTTTTTCCTCTTCATGTGATTGCACATGTCCATTCCTTTTCAGGACACTCAAAAACATCTGCTATAGCCACTTGAGCTAGAAAAGCTGCTGAAGTTGCTTGGGATTTTGTCAAGTGTGTGCCATCACTATGCTTGGTGGGGTTATATTGGCAATGTCATAGCAATGCACATACAAGAGGAAATCCATGACGAACAGTTGAGATGAGTATCAAAGCAATCTAGTCCTGTCCAAGTAAAAATGCCCTTCTGACATCTAAGGTATGGAGTCGCTCCTCATCTTTAGGAGGATGAGGCTTAGGGAAAAGAGCTGGTAAGTTTATTGCTGGTAAGTCAAAAATTTTGGATGCTGGCCTAATACACTTTGTCTTTCTGAAAGACTGTGTAGGAGGGATCATCTACCAAGACTCATAATTTCCCCATCTTCCTCACAGAGGTAACCGCTACCAAAAATGCCCCTTTCATGACTAGATGAAGAGCAGGTAGCCATTGGATCAAAGGCTGGACTCATCAACCTTTATAACATGAGATTCAAAACCCAGGTAGGGAAAGGATATGTTGAGGATATAATCTGTCCAGACCTTTTAAGATCCTAATTAACATGGAATTGGAAAATACTGAGTCACTCGTGATTGCAGGGCAGAAGCAGAGATAGTTTCCAGATGAACTCTGATAGAACTACCAGATACGTCTTGCTGTTTCAGGTGGAACAAATAGTCCAGAACATGTATAAAAGTGTAGACTGGCAAAATCTCTTTTCCCTAAGACCATGAGGAGAACTGCTTCCATTTTAGCAAGTAAGTGCACCTAGTCAAAGGCTTTCTCCTATTCAGGAGAAAATTTGTTTTGCACAGTCTCTAAACGGACCACCTCCTGAGGCATTAACCATGCAGCATCCAGGCCAGGAGATAAAGAGCATCAAGGTTGGAATCAAGCAGGCGACCGTGGTCCTGTGAGATCAGGTCTGATTCTGGAGGAAGTGTCAAGGGAGGCCTGGTGGAGAGAGACAGCAAAGTAGAGAACCAGTGCTGATTAGGCAACACCAGTGCTGTGAGGATTATGTGAACATAATCCTGCTCAATCTTGAGCAATGCTCTGGGAAAGCATGGACTAGAAGGGCAAGCATGCAGCAGTTTGTCGTTCCAGAGTATGAGGAAGGCGTTCATGAGACATCCCTGACAGCGATCTGCTCTTGGACAGAAGAGTCAGCACTTCCAGTTGTGGCAAGCAGGAAACAGGTCTAGGTGAGGCCCCTACATGACAGAAAAATTAGTCTTCTTATATCAAGCCTGCGAGATCACTCATGTTCTCTGCTGAAAGACCTGCTCAAGTGGTCTGCCAAACTGTTCTGAATCTCTGGCAGGTGAGATGCATTGGGGTAAATCATGCTGGTGATACAAAACTCCCAAACTGTATCACTTTTTCACAGAAATGAGCTGACATGGCCCCCTCTGTCTGTTCACATTGAACATTGCTGCTGTGTTGTCCATGAGGACATCCCTTGATCTGAGGGAGGAAAGCCCAATATGCTAGATGAATGGCCCTCAACTCTCTCACATTTATGTGGAGAACTAAATCTTGTTGTGAACAGACACCTTGAGTCCTCAGATTTCCTAGGTCAGTGGCTCTCAACCTTTCCACACTACTGTACCCCTTTCAAGATTTGTCTGATTTGTCTAGTGTACCCCAACTTTCACCTTACTTAAAAATACCTGCTTACAAAATCAGACATAAAAATACAAGTGTCACAGCACACTATTACTGAAAAATTGCTTACTTTCTCATTTTTACCATATAATTATAAAATAAATCAATTGGAATATAACTATTGTACCTACATTTCCATATATAGTATATAGAGTAGTATAACTAAATCATTGTTTGTCCTGACTTCTCTAGTGCTCTGTTGTAAAACTAGGCAAATGTCTAAACGAATTGATGTACCTGCTAGAAGGACTCTGTACCCACCCCCAGGGGTACATGCACCACTTGTTGAGAACTATTGCCCCAGGTGAGCCCCACCCCACAACCCAGAGAAGAAACATCCATAACCAGAATCAATGTGGGTATGAGAGTAGCAAAGAAACTCCAATACACATATTGGTTGGATCCATCCACCAATCCAAAGAGGCTAACACTCCTGTAGGCACTCAAGCCAGCATGTCTAATGGGTGGCAGGTTGGGGAGCATACTGAGCTTACTCATCTCTGCGCTATCCTGAAATGCAGTCTGTCATGCCCAAATATATACGTGCAGGAAGCTATATGCCCCACAAGTCTGAAACAGTTCCTTACAGTCATGACTGGATGAGCTTTTAGGTCTGAAGAAATGGTTAACATTATCTGAAATCTGGTTTTCAGGACTGCTCCTTTGAAGTCTCATCTGGAGACTGACTTGTCCTCATTGATCAGCAAATCCAGAACGCTGAAGAGGGACCAGATCTTGGCCATACTCCATTTTACCTTTCTCTTGGGCCAACCCTTTACTGGCCAGTCATCCCGGTATGGAAGTACTTGTACCCCCGTTTCCTTTAGAAATACAATCACCACCACACATTTTGTAATTACTCACAGGGCCGTGGATAGATCAAATGGTAGGAATGTAAACTGATCCTGGGTGTTGACTAGAAATCTTAGGAATCTCCTGTGGCTTTGACAGATAGCCACATGAAAATATGCATCCCTCAAGTCAAAGGCAGCGTACCAGTCACTGAGATCAATGGAGGGAAAAATGGAGACTAGAGTGACCATACAAAACCTTATTTTCTTTATACATTTATTCATCTCTTGCAGGTCTAATACGGATCTGAGACCTCCCTTTGCCTTTGGAATCAGGAAGTGGCGTGAATAAAACCCTTTCCCTTTGTGCAGAGGAGGAACCTCATCTGTAGCTCCAAAAAAGAGAAGAGACTGCACCTCTTGAACGAGGACAGCCTTGTGAGAGTGGGTTTTGAAGAGAGATGAGGAAGAGGGAGGAACTGAAATAAACTGAAGACTGTATCCAAGTTCCACAGGACTTAGAACCCATTGATCTGTGGTAATATGGGCCCAAGCACACAGGAAGTGGGATAACCTGCTGGAAAAAACAGGTGGGAGAAACTGGTGTAATGCAGACTGGTAAACTGCCCTCAATATGGCAATCAATCAGACTGCTTGGCATTTCTGGGCTGCCTGGAAAGAGTCCCAGAGGAAGAAAAATGCAGATTCTGCCTCCTGTGATTTGTCCCCTTCTTTCTGGACTGGTCAGAATGTCTAGGCATGAACAGCTGATAAAGCTGGAATGACTGAGGGAGGAACTGTTTCTTTTTAGGATATGGGGTGTAAATTCCTGAAGACTTCAACTTAGCCCTCCAGTCCTTCAGACTGTGAAGTTTCTCATCAATGTGCTGCAAAATAAGAGTCGGATCCTCAAAGGGTAGACCATGTATCATCTGCTGCCCCTCCTGTGGAAGAACCAACAATTAGAGCTATGAGCATCTGTGCATCACTACTGCAGATGTCATGGCTCTGACTGCCATATCTGCCCCATCCAGTGAAGCCTGAAGAGAGGTCCTGGAAGCCATATTGCCCTCTTCCAGTACTGCCAGAAACTCCTGTCTGGCATCCTCTGGCCATTTTTACATGCATTTAAGGACATCATCCCAGAGGGAGAAATCATATCTAGTCATCAGGGCTTGCTGGTTCGCAATATAACATTGCAGGCCAGCAGTGCAATATTTTTTTCCATCTAAAAGGTCTAATCTCTTTGCCTCCCTTTGGGGTGGAAGCAGGTTGTCCTAGACATTCCTTTGATTTAGTGCCAAAACCACTAAGGACCCTGGGAAGGGCAGTGTGTAGAAATGTTCAAATCCCCAGGAAGGAACATCGTATCTCCACTCAGTCCTCTTAGCTGTTGGAGGCAAAGATGATGGCATTTGCCACAATACCTTTGCAGGCTCCAATATGGCTCACTTATAGGGAGCATCAGAATGAAAGTCCTGTCAACCCCAATACGTGACCCACCTATGAGAGGACAGCAGCAGTGCTTTATCATGAAAACAAGCGCCTAAGCTCTGCTAAGAGAAGTTCTTGTTCCACAATATGGCCAACTACGGCAGCAACTGAGACACGTGTAAATCACATTGAGAAGAGCTCACCATTTATATTACACAAAATAAAGGTGCAATTAGACTTTGGAATGCTATCATGTGACCTATTTGGCATGCTAGGACAGGAGACCTCTCTCTCGAGAAAACTATGCATTATGGTGCCCATCTACAATCATTTTAAGACACATCTTTCATATTTTGCATGTTAGTAGATGGAGAACCAAGATTTAGATTTAGGGGTGTAAGACTATGCTGAAGAAGTAAAGGGTCAGGATTCTCAAGGATGCATTAGAAATCAAAGTGATACTGAAGATTTCTGCCAGCCATGTCACAAAAATAGCCTCTTAGTTTCCAAGTACTTAACACACACTAATCTAGTTTACTTTCACCCTTCAAGCAAATATTTTGTACTCTAAAATCTTGTGCAGTATCAAAGACAAAATGTAATCAAATGAGGGGGGGAAACTATTCTATAAATTCAATTTAATTTATTGACAAAACTGGAGACACTTACGTCAAATGCAAAGTTGAGAAATATAATACAAATTAAGTTGAAAACAAAATACAGTGCAGCCAATACTGAAGTGCTTCTGTTTTCACTGTTAATGAAAGACTCTTGTCTTAAAAACAGTATTCATAAATTCAATTATTTTTCCAAGCAAAAAGTGACAACGTAAACATACTCTACCACTGTGTAATTCTACTCCATAGAATTCAAGGGTTCGTGCTATGTTTATATAACAGGACTCTGCTTCAGATTGCTTGAGACCACTAAAGAAAAAAAAAAGAAGTTATTAATTTTAACTACCTTAAGTTAGAACAAGAAATTAAGCTCACTGACTTGACTATTTTAACTTATTACAAATGTTTCTTTTCAAAGCAGAAGAATCCTGTAGTCTGGAGGCTGACAGGTTGATCATACCTGCAAATAGCACAGAAGCAGCTAAAAGATTCAGTATTTTAGCTCCTTCTAGACGCCTCCTATATAATCCAGGGAATTGCATCACAGCCCCATTTGAGCATAAGAATGGCCATACTGGGTCAGACCAAAGGTCCAACTAGCCCAGTATCCTGTCTTCCAACAGTGGCCAATGCCAGGTGCCCCAGAGGGAATGAACAGATAATCATCAAGTGATTCATTCCCTGTCACTCATTCCCAGCTTCTGGCAAACAGAAGCAAGTTTCAAAGTCTGAACCTTTAAATAACTAAAAACATAAGGCATAACTATTCACAGGGGTGGAAAAGATTCCATACCAATTGCTATTCTCACACAGAGTCATGCTTGTGCTCCAGTCTGGTGATTAACTGAAAGTAGCAAGCAGCCTACCCCAAAGAACAAGCAGAGGAAGAGCACAATGAAAGGAGCTAATTAAAGAAACCCAGCTACCAAAAAACAATATATGAAGAAGTTACGTCTACTTTAGTGTTTTATGAATGAACAAAGAAATTAACAGAAAGCTACTCCGCAAATCTCCTCATAAAACCTTCTATTTGTTTTTGCCAGAGATGTGGTAACAGACCTTGATAAATGTGCTGCAAGATTTGGAAGAGGGTTTCCCCCAGTCTTCTTGTAAGCTTCTGCATTTGCTAACCTGAACTGCTGGGATATGTTGGCTTTGAAGCTTTCACACCTTTGTTCTTCCCAGCATAGAAGAGGAACAAGACATGAAATTTCCTAATTGGAAATAATTTGATCTGCAGGTATCAGGTGTCACCATCTGACCTTTTGAAACTCAGTTAAGGCAAAACAAATTAAGAGTTACGTCCTGGTAAAGATATGTCAGAATCCTCCAGTAGCTCTGACTACCACTTTGTTTTTTTAAAAGGCCTTTACAGACAATGCAACATACTAACTGATCATTCTAGCAGAAGTGATTGAAATCCAGAAAGACAAACTTAATAGAAAGGAAGTATAATGATGAAGGAAGCCCAGTCCAACTTAGTTACTGCCCTAAAGGATCTAGGGATGAGAGGAGAAAAAGACAACCATTTGCCAGATGAACTTCTGAAGGCAGTTAGTGAGGTACCTTGATTTGAGAGTCCTGAGGCTAATGAAGCTACCAAATGACCTGAAATCAGGAATTGTAAGAAACTGTCATGGCCTTACAGCTATAGTAAGAAAGCCAGGTTATGAAGACTTTCCAGATGCAGTAGTAACTCTAGATCAGGGGTTCTCAAACTTCATTGCACCACGACCCCCTTCTGACAATAAAAATTTCGACATGATCCCGGAGTGGGGGCAGAGCCTGAGCCCGCACAAGCCCCGCCGCCTCAGGCAGGGGGGCCAAAGCCTAAGTCCAAGCCCCGCTGCCCCGGGCAGGGGGGAACCCTTGGACTTCCAGTTCCGTGCCACAGAAAGCCTAACACCAGCCCTGGAAACCCCATTAAAATGGGGTCACAACTTACTTTGGGGTCCTGACCCACAGTTTGAGAACCGCTGCTCTAGATGTAAAATCCTTCCTAAATCAAAGGAGACCATCTAGCAGGTACTCAGTATAAACCTTCACGTCCATTCTCTCAAATTCCAGGTCATTAAATATGTCTGTTAGTCTGCCTGGAAGTGGCTACTACAGTGACCACTGCAACAACAGATCTACAGCAGGACTTAAGGACATCTCCAACCAGGAAAACCAGGGCCAACAATGTCAAAAAAGAATGAAGTGGATTACATTGACTATGTCCTTCTCTGATCACTGTGACAACACTAGGAAAGAGTGACTTGGGAGGATGACATATATCATAGGGTATAAGCATAGCTAGCCACCATTCTTTCCTGAGGTCCAAGTAGTTTACTCAGAACCGCAGTTCCACTGACTGCTGCATCTAGAAAACTGCCAATACTGTTCTTTGAACATTGCCTGGAATAGGAAAAGTCTTGGAGATGTTTGCATCCCAGGACTGCAACCCAACACATCTCCTACTATGTTGGAACAGTAGAGAGAAATCACAATAATCATTTGGTTATCTGACAGTTGATTAATATAGAAAGCTAAGAATTGAAGTCTGTGTGTTTATGAGTCCTATCAACTGCATTTGCAAAATTTTGATCAGGGCCTTAATTCTACTAAGATGGAGGAAAACACACACAATATGCCTACAGAAAAGGAGCAGATGTAGTATCATAAGCCCTAAACTAAACAACAGAATTTAATCATGAGTCTGTGTACATAACCTGCACCAAAGCTGTAGGTGTCCAGAAAACCAAATCAAAGAAGGAATCAGAAGACAAGCATAAAAATCCCACCTGCTCCGGTGAAGAGAAATGTTTGGTCACCTAACCAGAGACAGTTTGTCAGCATGTTGAGTGGACAAGCTGAAACTACTCCTCGTATCTCTTCCCAACACTCCTGGCAGTCTTTACCCCAAACCAAGAGTTAGTGATATGTCTGGAACCCCTCATGCTAGGTATATATAGGATATGTTACCCCCAAAACAGAACTTGTAGTTCCTGTAGCTTTTGCCCTAGGGTTAAAGTGTTTATCCTTTTCCTCAAAATTGCTTGTCAAACTTGGCTACTTTCTTAACAATTTTGTCTAACTACCCCAAAAGCATGTTACCCATTTGGATCAGGTGGATTCCAGAGATGGTGTCCACCTCTTCAGATCACAGTCAGTTGGCTCTCCTAGCTACTATGGTACAAAATAAAGAATGATCAGAAAACCTTGTTATAAAAATCACATATCTACAGAAAGGAGAAATCTTTTTGCAGATTTAGAATTTTTTGTGTGAGTTGAAATAAGAAAGGACAGCCAAGATTCCTGAACGTCTGCAGCATTACCAATTAGTTATGGTGTCAACAGCTTTCCTAGCAGATAGTGTGCACACACCAGTGTCTAGAACAAGTGTGTTCAGGAGACTTGTGTGAGCTGGACTCAATCTCTCTCCAAGCTATGACAGTGTAATGGAGAGAGATATGAAAGTCTTGTGTCAGAAACCACACTGTACATGAGTTTGTCAAGTTTGTAGCATCTTTGTGTGACCTAATCATTTCATCAATTCCACTTTTAAGACTATTGAGGGCAAGAACTCAAACGGGAAACCTGGAAGAGATAAAGCAGGACATGGCTATTTACAGTGCAGTCCCTGCAGTTGTGTAATCCCCATAAAGGGACAGAATTTAAAGGGGACAATCTGGTCTAGGAATTATGTATGGCCTATGGCAGATTTTGCTAACTCACATCAGCTTAGACAGAGTCTATCATACCAAATAAACATAATTTCCCAGGGACCCTAATAAAGGATGGGAAAAATACTTTCATATTTTTTCCTTCTAATGGACTCCTTTTAGGATATAGGATTTGTCTTAGTGGATCAGATCCTTGGTCTAGCTAATCTAGTATCCTGTCTCAGACACTGGCAATCACCAGATACTTCCAAGGAGGATGTGGAATAATCAGATCCTTCATGAAGGTCTCAGCCTAATCCCTAATAGTTAGAGATTGGCTTTAACCCCCAAGCAGAAGGTTTCAAAGGAGGGATTAGGCCCATTAGGAAGTGTGAGGTTCTTTACTAGGCAAATCTGCCCATGGGTCATCTCCTCAATTATCAAAATCTGATTGCTTCAAATGAGGCAGTTAAACTCCTTGATTATCAGTACTTTGGTGTACCTGCTGAGTTATTTACCATCACCTATCACAAATAAGCATCACAAACACCTGACTCCAGTATTTAAATACTCAGAGAGGAGCCTGAAGAAAAAAAGGAATCTCTTTCCTCACAGGCCCCATCTTTATCCATATTCATATTGTCCACTGCTCTGCAGGGATCCAACTAGTCACTCACTTCCAAAGATGACAGCTGTCTGCAGTGAGAAGTTGACTTCAGCCCCTCCATTCAGTGCCCCTTCACAATCCTCCACTGGCAAGAGTGATTTCTAACAGTCCCCCACCATTTTCAATTAACTGACTTATATCTGCATCCAGCATACAGGTTTCCAGCCACACCAGTAACCCTACATTTTTGGTACAGACTGCCAGCAGGGATGGGAGGAGTCAGCTTCAGCTTGTCCAGGCAAAGTGAACAACAGCCCTGATTAGCAGTGGCCATTGACAGGGAGAGCCAATACCCCTTACAGTGTGGGTGTTACCTCACTTGTGCCCAGGGTTTGGCTGTCTGACTGCTCCCGATATTCCATGACAAGGGCCTGGAGATGTCAATAGGGGAGGGAGTAGACAAAGTGCAGAACAGTACCTAAGAGGAATTGCCAGAACCATTGGGTCTACAGCCTAAATCCTTGAACTATGAAGAGCTGCTGTGAAAAAGCTGTTCCCTGTGGTACAGAAGCAACATACAGGAGCTGTGATGCAGCACACAGGCTTCTATGGTAGAAGACTGGAAGACACCAAGATCTTTATCATATCTCCTTCTGTGGCCTTTGTGGTCCAGTTAATCCAGTCCATCCATCACAGTTTAGAAGATTCCTTCTATATGTGAGGACCAATTTTCCTTTAGTGTTTTTCATCTTCATCTATGTCACTAACATTCAATGGATGCAAGACTTCTTTTTTCACTTAAATTAAATACCTTCCCCTTCCTACCCAACTAATGTTTGCTAGTTACACCTCGCCAAACAAGCAACACAGAATTAAAAGGGTAAAAAGTGACAGATAGATTGAAATTTTTAGTTTTGAAGGACCTTTACATTTTTTATTTTTGCCTAGAAGACTGAATTTAATTATAATTTAGTTCAATTTGAAGTATTTGTTATGATGGACATAAAAAATAAAAAGTAAACCAAATAAATTTTAATTTGATTTTAGATGAACTTTAAATATTCAGAAAATTAAAAAGATACTGTAGTACTTTTTTCCTATGTGTTGCAGTCTAAAGGTTAAAATTTTAAAATAGAAATAGAAATAGAAAGTACTAGGCATAATGTAGCACAGAAGTTAACTATTGTCCTGAAGATAACCTCTTTCCTGACTCCTGACCAACAGACTTTCCTTAAAGATACCCAATCCTAGCAGCAAATGTCAACAGTCAGACATTAAGATCCATTTAACGCATCTCTGAGATTAAAACAAAAATGGAAAATTTCATCTCAAAGGTAATGTAAATAAGTTATGAAAACAACAAAAAAGTCACAATGTAAATTAGAATTCTAACTTCACTCTAGTAGAACATTTGCTAATGCCTTTAATAACTATCAATACAGTACTAGCTGTGTTAGTAACATATATATAGTCAATAAAAATGTTTCCCCACTTATCCCACACAGCAAATTTCAGCATAGATATGTCAAAGGAATCAAGAAATCTAGCCACAGAATACATGCAAACCAAGCTCACACCCAACACATTTTTTCACTAATGACTAACAGCCATAATGATTCAAAACATTTTAAAATGACATATCTGGCCAGCTGTAATTAGCTACCACCTTTTCTATCTTAAACAGTAAAACCCACCAATTATTCATGCTTTCCATAGCCCGATGAGAATCCCACAGGATTTTGATCATGGTCCAAAGCCCTCTAAAGCAAGGAGCTCTCAAAGAAATGCCCTCAATGTCTGCCTGACACCAACATTAATTTATTATACTTTATAAAATAATCAGTGGCTCAATTAATGAAGATTTGTTTTTAAATTTAACTTATGCTATATTCCCTAGTATATAACTTTTGAATACATATATTTCAAAATCAGAAAACTTAAGCTTATTAAAAACAATATTAATGTAACATTCAGGAATATTAACCTTCCCTCCCCTCCCCAATTTTCTTTTTGAACTCATGAGGTGGGGAAGGAGAGGGAATGGGAAAGATATTAAAAGTATGTGTTTACCTGTGCTGTTCATGTAGTGACTCTACTTTGGTTAAAAAATCTTGGTTCTGATCTGGTATGAAACGATAATTTGAGAGATATCCTGAACGATGTACTGAAGAGTTATGGTCTCCAAACTGAGCTGTTAGGGAAAAAACACATGTACAAAAAGGTTTCATAGACAGCCTAAGCTTAGTGTAAATACTGTTTACAGGAACTCCCCCTTCCGCACTAAATGGCATATTAACCAAGAGTAAGTATAGTTGTGGAAAACCGCAAGAATTAAAGATTATTTCTCACTGACCACAGTTTTGTTTAACCTACTCAATCTTAAAACAACAGCAAATGAAAATCTCTTCCAACATATAAGTATGCTTATCATAAATACTTTTTTGGGCACTGATTAGCTTAATACTTTGTTCAGTTACTCATTTATCCATACTTTTGCTTTGTTTGCCATAACAAAACTTCTTAGACTGCACATATTGCACCAGCACAGAATATAACCATGTAAAATGTCACAGGTGAAACAGAATTGTCTAAATCAGGGAAATCAAACTGAGCCCATTTGATGTGTGTGGGGCCCCCTTACAGATAAAGAATCTGCAGACTGAAAATTCATTTTTTAAAAATGTCTTGTATTTAAAACTATATAAAGAAAATCTTCCAAACTTTAACTAATGTTGTTTTGACCCATTTTAACTACCCAGTTGTCATTTATCCATCTTAACTGAGTGTTAACATTTCTCATGATAACCAATTCCTAATTTGTGCATGGATTTACAACAATCATATATAGACAATCATATATGCACAAATGGCCAAATAAACAAAGGATGGAAATAGTATTCTAGACAAGTGCCCATAATCATATTTTCCCACTGGGCGATGCTGAATATAAAAGTAAATGGACATATAACAAAAATGGACATATTGTTCTCTAGCAATGGGATATCTGCTATAAATTGAAGGACAGCATATGGCCCTAACTTTGTAGCCTCAGCCCATGAACACAAGTCAAAGATGTAACTCAGCCCTTTCCACAAAATAAGTTTGACACCCTTCGTCTAAAGATCACCCTTTATGGATAGCAAGTCAGAGTTTGTTAAGGTTGTTTTGTTGTTGTTTTGGGGTTTTGTTTTGATTCAAGCATTTACCTGCTGCTAAAAGAATTACCTAGAACTAATTTCAGTGGAATTCTAAGTTCACAAGTATAGATGTACACAAATGATTAAGCAGTAATGCTTTCATATGCCAATCAAAAAGTGATATGATACTATGCAAATCACTAGAACATGAACTATTTTTCTTAGCACAGAACAAACAGTACTTATTATAAAACATTTAAAGCATTAAAAATATAGAAAAAAAGTTACTTGTAAGATATTTTGTGGATAAGCACAAGAACACATACTGGTCTGCACTGCAGAAAATTCAGTATACAATAAAGCCTTGACCAAGTCACCCAAAGTACATTTTTCTAAACAAGATGTCATTATTTTACAAAAATGTTAAAGGCCATGAAATATGAAATGGCGGGTTAGCCAAAGAATCAATATTTCTCCATAAAAGAACCCGTAGCACAACAATTGAGGATACCTAAAGCAAAGGAATGCCGAATTTAGGAATACTGGCCAATTAAGATACGAAGGAAAAACCTCTACACCATATGAACCTTAACTACTGAGATATAAAAGAATGAAAGTTGTCAGCACCTGCGAAAATATAGTCCCATAGCTACTTGTCAGCACTAACTGGGGTCACAACGCATATTTAAATGGAAGAGAAAATTAACGGACAAACATGAAGTAATTTAGTTTGGTTACTGTAATGTTCCTACTGTCCTTTGCTCCTAAATGCCTTTGAAAACAGCTTAATTTTTGTACTAGTTAGCAAAACCCACTCTTGGCAGAAAGATTTGGATTTAATGATAAATATCTAAACAAACTTTAACAATGTTTGTTAAACATTAACTCTTCCTTTGAAAGCAAACCAGTCACTTGTATGAACTGTGCCAAACTGAAAAAATTCCATATACTGCAACACATTAATGTAGATCCAGGCCAATGCCTTGCACAGATGTGCACAACTAAAGGCTAAGGCTATAGAACCACAAACTTATTAACTGTTTATCCAAAGTAATCTATGCTTAATAATGATATCAAAATAAAATATGCACATTTCAGACAACTGTGTTTTGACTGGCGTGTATACTTATTTTTCCTTTCCAGCAATTAAAATTTCTCAATCTCTTCCATATAATCTCTGACCCAATATTTTTGTTTTTTTGGGCAAAGCTGAGCGAGGCTTTTTTTGGTTTTTTTTTCATACCAAAGTTGGTTTGAAGCATATTCTTGTCAACAGGAGACTACATTGCCAAGAACAGTACATCTTAATTTTCTACTTCAAAATCTATGCTTGTGTTTCTTATCGTAATTTTACCTTCTCTAAAGAGAGTACCTATTGCTCAGTGATTCATTATGAGGTTGGGTTCTTCTAATTCATCTTCCAAACATGTAGGCTCCTCTTTTCTCTCCCCCTCCCCGCCTCCTTCCTAGCTAGGGTCATCCTTGTCAGGCCAGCAAGGAGGCGCAGGTTAGACTTGCATCTCCAACTCCCCAGACAACTGCAATAGTTGAAGAGATTAACTATAATAAACTCTGCTTAGTACACATTGTAGAAGAGTAGTCTCAAGCATCATCCCACTTTTTTTTTATTACCTAAACAATGGAAAAGAATTAGGATGTTTTCATCTTTCCTGCTTGTGGGCATCTGATGCTCTATGATTCATTGTATCTGGGAAGTAACCAGTAGTATAACAATCTCAACAAACATGAAGAAAACAATCTTCAAGGAAATGGAGCCAAGGGGGAGGGGGGGAGTGGGAGAGAGAGAAACAACTTTTATTTGAATTTGCATTGATCATTTAAAATGTATCTGAAAAGTTTTAATAAAGAAAAAAATCAAAGAAAAAAAAAACAGAACCATTCAAAAAGCCATAGTAAACAAGGAGAGCACACCTATTTAATAGTGCTCGGTCAATGCCTGCAATAAAGACCAAATAGCCAAGTGGCAAATTCCTTGGATGAACCCTTTAGATAATATGCCTAACAAGTAGCACAGTTGTGAGAGTCCTCGACGAGGTAAAAGGATGTTGACAAACATTTAAAGGCCTGAAAAATTCCTGTGTCTCTGTCTGTCTATATATAGTGGATATTTATGCTTTGTGGCCCTGGCATCCCATGTAATTCTAAAAATGGTTCAGATTTTCCCCAAGGATTAGTTTTGTATAGAAGACATTCACTGCCTGGTTAAAGTGTGTAACAGTTTCTCTTGGTTGTTGAAAGGCTTAGGTCATACACAAGGTAGATAAAAGGACTTGGGGGGGGGGGTGGAGAGAAGAGGAAGGACAAATAGATTTGTAATCTGCAGTGTTGCTGTAGCCATGTTGGTCCCAGAATATTAGAAGACAGACGAGGTAATTTCCTTTATTGGACCAACTTCTTTTGGTGAGAGAGACAAGCTTTCAAGCTACACAGAGCTCTTCTTCAGATCCAAAGAAGAGCTCTGTGTAGCTCGAAAGCTTGTCTCTCTCCTCAGGAGAAGTTGGTTCAATAAAAATTACTTCACCCATCTTGTGTCTCTAAACAGATTTGTAGACAGTTTCTAGATTTGAGCAAGAAGTCCATGAACTTTCATGAACATCCATGCTCCTCAGGCTTAGTACCTCAGCTGCTGGAAGCCTTAGTGTTTGAGCAGACCTTTGAAAAGAAAGTCCCACCAGACCAGGAATCCAAAGATGCTCAATTGACAGAACTATGGAGAATTATGGGTGAGTAGGTGACTATGTTTCTGTTGGCTAACTGAGAATTTCATTATTATCATTCTTCTATGTGCAATTTATGTCCAGTCAGCCAGCCTGTAGATTTGCTCTTTGCCCAAATGCGATTGAAAGATGAAGGAAGTGGTCTTGAAAAATCTATGCACAAATTCCTTTGGGACTATTTCAAGAGATTTTCTGTCTGATGTGGATTGTTTAAGAATTCTTTGGGATTAAGCCATTGGGGCTGGAAATTTCCTTTAGGAAAAGGTAAACCCTGATGTGGAAGGCTTGAAAACTTTGGAAGAAACTCCTATTTTACTATTTCTAAGATACTAAGGGAAAATATTATTAAAGCCATAAGACTTGGAAGGCCTGGACTAAAAAAGAAAATAAACCCCATGTTATACTAACACATTTTATTGAAAGCTTCAGCTAATCACCTCAACTATGGTACAGCAATCTCCAATCTATTGGGTTGCACAGCCTCACCACTGTAAAGAGCTCTGTTGCTGCTGCTTCAGCAACAGCACTTGCTTGTGCCCCAGGCTATGGCTCCCCTTAAAGGGACAGGGACCATCATTTTTAAAAATGAATTTGCAGAGGAAAGAGATGATACCGAAGGGGGAACAAGAAAATATCTGAGCAAAAAAGCCATGATGATATGGTTTTAAAACTGGGCAAGCTCCTTCCTTAACACTGACATTTTACTGCAGGATCACAGTCATTCACATTGTCCAGGGGAGTTGGCAGACTGGTAATATAAACGACAAGCTGAGAGTTGCTGGTAGGCCCAAAAAAGTGATAGTCTAACCGCTCTGCAGTGGAAGAAAACTGGCAGGAGAGATATTTAAACTACCTCTAATCTGCATATTTTAGCAATTTGGGTGTTCTACAGCCATGACAGGCTGGCACATGTGTTTGGCTACACTGCTACATTGGTAGGACTAAAAGGCATGTGAGGCCACGCTGACCTGATGCACACAACTGAGAAAGCCTGAAATAGAACAGAATCAGCATGTGGAATTTTTAGGCACCCATACAAGAGCAGAAACTGGTTCCATATCTTGGGAATTCAAACCACCTAAGTTCATCTACCCCAGGGGTTCTCAAACTGGGGGTTGGGACCCCTCAGGGGGTTGCGAGGTTATTACATGGGGGGGTCGCGAACTGTCAATCTCTACCCTAAACCCTGCTTGCCTTCAGCATTTACGATGGTGTTAAATATATTAAAAAGTGTGTTTAGTTTATTAGGGGGCTTGCTGTGTGAAAGGGGTCGCCAGTAAAAAAGTTTGAGACCCACTGATGCACCCTGAATTTGTTATTTTAATTGTGATTTCAGTTTCAGAGCTATTGGGAGTCAGAGCTGCCCTCTGGAAGAAACCCTGATCAAAAGCTTGAAGAAGCAGGGCTTAAGATAGCAATCACAGGGACTGAGAATTGAAGCTAAGGCCTTCCCTGGAACAACTAGGGAAAAAAACCACCTAATTCTGGCATCCTAGGGGGTCTAACGCCATGGACTTTTCTTACCCCTCTGATTTACCAGAGCCTCAAAAGCACTCCTGGACTCCATTTTTCACCTTAACCAGCAGAGAAAAATAGCAAGTGCCAAAGTCTTATAGTTTCAAAACAGACCAGATCCTGCTGATGGACTTTTGGCCCAAGTAACCTGGGGTTTGAACGTCATTTCTACAGTGGGAGAGGAATGAATGGTGAAGGGCAATGGAGCCAGGCTGGGAGAAGATTTAAAAACAACAACCACATAGCCTTCTGCTTAGAAAAAGAGAGCAGAACTCTAGAAGAATCTCCTGCTTCTCCAAGCAAGGGCGAGAGACTGGAGAGCTGTAGATGTAAGCACTACTTTGTACAACTCCTTCAGCTGGCACATTGAGAAATTAGGAGCAAGAGTGAAAAGAAAGAGAGGTACCTATGTGCTTGGACAATATGGAGGAAGAACTTAGTCATAATGAATCACAATTTAAAGCACTCATTATAACCGTTTATTTCTTGGATTGGGGCCTTACTATAAGAACTGACAGCAAAAGCAGCAGCAGTAGTAGTAGTAAATCTGCTACATGAGGTTTTAACTAAAAGCAGAGGATATATCAACTGTGTAGGACAATCTATTACATTTCACTTTCTAGAACTTTGTGGGCAATAATCTTAGTTTACAACATAAATAATAAATAGAAAAATAGGACAGGATTTGGCATTTGAAACGTTATTTAATTGAACTCATGAGTAATAAATTATTTTAAAATATTTGAAGAAAATATACATCTCATTAGTGACTGCTTTTAAGAAACAAGAAATTCAAGATGTGCTGAATATAAAACACAGTGTGCAATATATAATGTTCAACATAAATTCAACATTAAAAGTAACATTTAATCTGCATATCCCCAATATCTGAAGAACAGTCTTTGTAGTTATGATAAATCATACAGTCACATCAACTAATCTGACACAGTCATACAGATTGTTCTACTCTCCTGTAATTTTTTACTACCATCAAACAAAGCAAAGTGTAGCATAACCAAAAGGCAATGTATCAGAACAGTTTTATTTTAGAACTTCACTACTAAAGCCAAACAACCATGAAAAGGCAATATGTAGAAACAGTTGTTTTTCCAGAAGCATGATCTATTCCAGGCAACCACACCTACAGCACTGAGTGGTTAGCAACATTTACAAATCTGAAGAAAACCTATAATAAGAATAAATTATATTTTACATGTGAAAAAAGAGAATGAATGAAATAATTTCCTATACAAGAAGAAGTCCTGTGAAAAAGAAATGAAAATGTAAAAATAAATATAAAACTTAATACATTATGGAAGCTCAAAGACAACAGCCACATGTTTTTAACCAATTGTAGGTAATCAACACCTTAAGATTAATCTCCTCCATACACAAGAGATAATGCATGAGGAAATTGCTGCTGAAAAGTCATAGTAGTTTAGCAAGAAATGGGTCAAACTGGGCTAACCAATGGTAGTTCAAGCCAGCAACTCCCCTCCCCCAACCCTGCCCCCCTGCCCCAGGCTGCTATTTTGTACTCCAGAATCTCAGATTTCATTTAGAAGATAGTTAAATTAAAATCCAAAACTGAAATGACAATAGTTTATAATACCTATTCTCAGATAAAAACCATTATCAGTAATCTATATCATATCATTATAGAGTAATGATATATTCAGTAAAAATAATGGAACCCTATTAGCAAGACAATAGACATGTATTTTATTCGTCAGGGCAGTATTTTTCCCTATTATTAGGATATCCCATATTTTGCTGAACCCCGAGGCTCACAGAATGAACATGGGGATTACACAAGCAGCAACAAAAACTATAGTAGCTTACAAAAGGAAATGAAGGAGGGAAACAATTTTTCTACTGGGAACATCACTGTCTACAGATGGCAGGGCTATGGATATAGATTTACGTGAAAAAAACCAAATATGCTAGAAAAAACATCATATATACACTACAGTCTATACAC